CGGCAGAGAGCGTGGCTGGAGCTCTGGACCTTGGCGGGGCTTCAACCCAGATCACCTTCTATCCTGGGACCACCCTAGATGACAGCAGCACAAGAGCCCTCCTCAGGCTGTATGGGACCAACTACTCCATTTACACCCACAGTTACCTCTGCTACGGCCAAAAGCAGGCCCTGAAGATGCTGATGGCATCCTTACACCAGGTAGCCACCTCCAGCCCTGGGCTGCACCCTGAGCCCAAATCTCACTGCTTTGGGCAGATACTGCCCATTGGGTGTGATGGGCGCTGGGCTCGGTGCCTTTGTGCAAACCCCAGTGAGGATGGTGGATACAACAGGGCCAGCACGGCAGGAGCCATCCCAGGGGTTTCCCAACAGCAGAGAACAGGGCTGAGCTGAGATGGACCCCCCCAAAGCCATCTGCCTGACTACAGGCACTGCTGGGATGGTGCGTGCCTGGGGCCTCTGTCCCAGAGCCATCTTGCCCACCAGATCTCCAGCTCTGTGCTGATGGAGGGGCTGTGTCAACCCAGTCTCAGTCACAGGAGAATGGAAAGACAGCCCTGGATTTTTTTGCTGAACACTGGCAGGTTGGGGAAGACCCAATGAGAGTTTTTAGCACCAGTATGGTGATGAATAAGTTGATTTTAGGGTAGAAATCTGAACATGCTGGTCTTTAGCGGTCAATGCTGGGCGTGGGAGAGGTGGTGTTGCTGCACAGGGGGACCCTCATGTCCATAGCTTGAGTGGGGGTGAGGGCTCAATGCTGGCTCGTGTGGGTTGGGATGGACAAAAGGCCACCTCCAGAGCAAGTTGCAGATCAGTGTGTTTTGTTTTTGCTTAAATGGCTTCTCAGACTTGGCCCTCCCCTGAGAGTGGGGACAGAATGGCTCAGCACAGGGTGTAAAGCCCCAAGGCCTTGGGCATGTGGCCGTCACTGTGGCTGACCCCTGACGACAGTGTGACCGTGCCATGCTTGTCCCCACGATTCTGTGCCTGCACCCCATGGACGGGACCCCACGGGTGGTGGGGCCAGCACACTGGCGTCCTGGGTCTGGGTGTGGGAACAGGCACTGCCTGGGGGCTGTTCCTCCTTTCCATCCTCATCCTCAGTGCCAGGGTGATGCTAAGAGCTCACTCTCTCTCCAGGACAGCCTGTCTCCCCAGCAGATATCCCACCCCTGCTACCCCAAGGGCTATCAGGAGAACGTCATCCCGCGCTCCACCCCAGCCCCTGTGTGCAGGCAGCCAGCACACCCAGCCCTGCACAGCTCCTCACGGTGACGGGGACAGGGGACCCAGCAGAGTGCAGCAAGGCTGTCCAGAAGCTCTTCAACTTCAGCTGTGGGGCCAACAGGACGTGCGGGTTCAACGGGGTGTATCAGCCACCCCTGCGGGGACAGTTCTTCGTAAGCAGCCTCCAGCCCCCTGCCTGTGGTGTGGGTGAGGGGTTTGGGGCACCAGAGGTTGGCCACGACCCCAGGAAAACTGCTGCAGAGGAGTCTGAATGGTGGCAGCCCTGAAAGCTGGGATGTGCCCCGTGTGTGGAGACGTGCAGGGTGCTCACCCGTGTGCCAGGCAGACCCTGACTTGTCACAGCACCCATCTCTTTCAGTGTGTGGGTCAGCTGGTGTCACCCTGCAGTGCTGGGAGGTGGCCTTGGGGACCTCTGCAGAGCACCCAGAGGAAGGGGTGGGGGGATGGCACTGACCTGGGTGCATCACTAACTGGCTGCCTTTGCTCTTGAACACCTGCAGGCTTTTTCAGGGCTTTATCACAGCCTTCACTTGCTGAACCTGACTGGGGGACAGTCCCTGAGCTTGGTCAATGACACCGTTTGGCAGTTCTGCAACAAGAGCTGGGAGGAGGTGAGATCCTGCCTAGGAGATGCCAGTCCCTGCCCATGTCTCCCGTGGCACTGGGCAGCCCGAGGGCTCATCTGCAGCCCATCCTTGGCTGTGCAGATGGCAGCTGGAGGGAGCTGGGAGATCTGTGGGCAGGGAGGGAGGTGGGAGAGCAGCCTGCAGTCCCCCAGGTGCTCCCCAAGCCCAGGCACTCCAGGCCTTTGCTCCCAGCTGCACTGTGGGGCTGTTCCATGGTGTGGGCACACCGAGCGCTGCTCCATGCTGGCAGCCCCCCAGCTTAGGAGGAGTTCCCCACCATCAACAGGCCCCACCTCCGTGACGCCTGCGCCGCCAGCTCCTACACCCTCACCCTTCTCCTGCAAGGCTTCAAATTCAACCACACGACGTGGCGTAGCCTCCGCTTCGTCCAGCAGGTAGGAAGGTGCCCAGCAGCCCCCAGCACCCACACTTTGAGCTGTGAAATGGCTCCTGCCCACCCTGCCCATGCTCCTGCCCTGCCTGGGTGGGGAGCAGGAGATAACAGGGCAGCCTGGCCAACTGCCTGCGCCCAGGCCCCTGCTGGGACACCTGCCCTGGGCCATTTGTGGCCTCCCCCAGCTTGTCTGACTAACGGGGCATCTGCAGCCCAAAGTGTGCACAGAGAGGGTGGCTGTGGAGCAGGACCTGGGGGTGCAACAGCCACAGTATTCTCTAGCTGTCCAGCTTGCATGGTACCTTGCAGCCTTTCCCATCCCTCTTCCTTCTCTGCCTGCACAGGTTGCTGGTGCAGACGTGGGCTGGACTCTGGGCTACATGCTCAATCTCACCAACATGATTCCATCAGAGGCTCCCCAGAAAGTTGTAGGGCTCCAGAGAAGCAACTGGATAGCAGCCACAGTTCTACTGGCCGTCATGTTCATCCTCATCTTCTGCCTGCTCACAGTCATGTCCTGCCAGAAGAGCTCCTCTGATTATGACAGACGCCACACTTGTCCTGCTGCCACACTTGTGAGAGGAGCTGCAGACCAGGGAATCACCCCCATGTGTCCAGGATCTGTGAGCTTGTCATGTGGGACATCCCTGGCCTGGCCTGGTGAGCTGGAACAAAGCACAGGCTCTAAAAATCCTCCCTGTAGCTGTGTGCTCTCTGGTTTTCCTTTCCCCTCGCTGCTGGCTGGAGATGCCCTACTTGTCCTGCTGCCACACTTGTGAGAGGAGCTGCAGACCAGGGAATCACCCCCATGTGTCCAGGATCTGTGAGCTTGTCATGTGGGACATCCCTGGCCTGGCCTGGTGAGCTGGAACAAAGCACAGGCTCTAAAAATCCTCCCTGTAGCTGTGTGCTCTCTGGTTTTCCTTTCCCCTCGCTGCTGGCTGGAGATGCCCTAGGAGAGAGATGGGGGCAGGGGATCAGCACTGGGGACCACAGTGATGTGGGGTGGCTGGAGAAAGGTGGGGCCAGCGGGTCAGGGAAGAGAGAGGGGCTGTCTGACAGC